GATCGCTCTTCGAAGTTGGTTTTTTTGGTTGTTTCTTGGAATAAGATATGTTTATCGTCGTTAAGTGTGACTGTGAACAACACAAATGGCTGAGATATGTTTATCGTCGTTAAGTGTGACTGCGAACAACACAAATGGTTGAGATATGTTTATCGTCGTTAAGTGTGACTGTGAACAACACAAATGGCGATAAGATGTGTTTATCGTCTTTAAGTGTGACTGTGAGCAACACAAATGGCGATAAGATATGTTTATCGTCGTTAAGTGTGACTGTGAAAAACACAAATGGCTGAGATATGTTTATCGTCGTTAAGTGTGACTGTGAACAACACAAAGGGCTGAGATATGTTTATCGTCGTTAAGTGTGACTGTGAACAATACAAATGGTTGAGATATGTTTATCGTTGTTAAGTGTGATTGTGAACAATACAAATGGCTCTCAGATATGTTTATCGTCGTTAAGTGTGACTGTGAACAACACAAATGGCAATAAGATATGTCTACAAACACGAAATGTCAAAGCTAAGTACTAAAAATGTGTTTTTTCCTGGAATTTGTAATACTTTAGATATTCGCCTACTAACGCTTTCTTTGGAGAGAACTAAAGGCTGAAATCTTGACATAGAATTTAAATTAATTTTCGCTGAAAAGTTTTGTTTTTAGTTAGTTTCAATTTTTGCCCGTTGTTTGTCTGAAGTTAAGCACAAAGCTACACAAAGAGCTATCCGTGCTCTGCCTACGACGGGTATCGAAACCCGGTTTCTAGTGTTATAAGTCCGCAGATATGCCGCTGTGCCACTTGGGGACATTTTTTCACGTTGACGACAGCAATTACGAAGAGAAACGCTAAGTACTCTACTTAAAACTTAATAAGCAATTCAATCCTCATTTCAATCACAAATGGCTTGATAAATCAAGTTTTTTTATGTGTCATTAAGCAAAATGCTGTGACTACCACAGTGATCGAACCCCACATTTTTGTGTTATACACCCTCAAAGTGAGAGGCAATTTTGTAGTTCCGACGCTGCTCGCCCCCCAGTGGCACAGCGGTATGTCTGCGGACTTACAGCGCTAGAATCCGGGTTTCGATACCCGTGGTGGGCAGAGAACAGATAGCCCATTGTGAAGCTTTGTGCTTAATTAAAAACAAAAACAAACAAACCGACACTGCTCACTCACCGCCAATAAAAGTACAGCGGACGTCTGTATAGTCTGTTTTTATTCACTTTCCGGATTTCAGAAAACAACAAGCCTAACTTCTTTCTTATACAGTTTTAAGGTTCTCTTCACTTTCTCAATCGTATTTTGAACTTCATCTTTGCCTCAGCTAAGCCTAACTTTCTCCCTTTTTATATTTATTGTTTTCTTCTTAGTAACATATTAGTAATTATATTTTCCACGAGTCCTATTCTTTATTTCACTCTTACTTATGAAACTTATTAAACAGTCCAATGATAAACTTCGTCATGTAGTAATTTTTGGGTGTTTAGAGTGTCAAGTAATATTTAGCCGTTTCGTCGGTTTTTATCCAGAGGACGAAACCAACGATATGATGCCACTGGTTCCCCTGGTGAAGTTATTTGAAAGTGTCCGGCAAGCTACAATAGTCGGCCACTCGGGGAAAGATCAAGAGCTTTTAAAGTTAAGAGCCAAAACAGATACAGACACGGTAAGTCATGTGTAGTTGAATTAAGTAGTTTTCGTTTTAGTGTATAGTTGAATTAAGTAGTTTTCGTTTTAGTGTATAGTTGAAGTAAGTAGTTTTCGTTT